AATATTCCTAAGCTACTAGACACACAATGATGAATCAAATAATAAACCGAACGACCCTCATGCAGGCATTGTCGACGCCCAGGCCGTCCAATTCGAGAAGCACCGATGGGGCCACTTTCCACACGTCGAACCGAACCTGAGAACGCCAATCAATGCGAATCCAAAATGCAACAATGACAACTCCTAAAGTAAAAACCTCAACCGAGTGGCGGCATCGACGACGGGATTCCCCAGGCTCGGCATGTACGCCTCGAGCTGCGAGGGATCGTACCGCCCGAAGCCATAATCGGCCTCCACGTGGACCTGGTTCGGAGCTGGGCCTGCACCTGGCCCCACATCTCCTGGCCCCGCATCTTGGCCCGACGAAGAACCCGGACGACCTGGGGCCCCACCCATGTGGTTGAACGGCCCTTTTCGAGGGCGAAGAACGGCCACCATGTCCTTCAAGTCCTCGATGTCCTCGTCCGGCAGTCTCGCGATCGCCCACCATTCCGTGTGCAAATCCCCAAAGGTGGGGAGCCATATCGGGATGTCATAGACGGCCGACAAAGCGACACCCAAAGTGGCCGACCGATTTCTGCCGTGAGAGCCTCAGATTGCACTAACTACAGTTAAAGTCGACACGAAAAACCTCGCACAAGCTCAGATCAAGACAAGCCTAAATTGAATCCAGCTACAAATGATCTGCAGCACCGAACGACCTTCGACGTGCAGCAGTGTGTCGAGGATCCCACAGAGCATCACGAACGCCGCAGGGAACTCCTCCTGGTCACGAGCGGCCTTCCAGGCTCCGTACACGCACAGCGGATTGCCTCAGATAATCGCACAAGCCACTGACTGCTCGGACACATGATCTGACTGTCTACAGCTTAAGTTAAGTTTAAGATACCCGGTGGACTCGCAGCTCGTGTCTTCACGTCGGACGGCCAAACTCCCCGAACATCGATCGACACCTGAGTGCCCGAGATATCGTACCACCTCTTCTTCATAAACCACGGGCAGACCGAATGGCCTTTCTGTCCTCGGTGGTGGCACATCACATGCAACCTTGAACCTTCACCTGAACCGAACACAGCAAGCCTTAAATTAAACTGAATGCATCGGGCTACCGATCGCCCCGCTTTTCTGGGTGGTCTTGTAGATTTCTTCGGCCCCCCACGCCACGATGAGAGGCCCCTCACGCCATGGGCCCTCGTCCACCTTGTCGTCGAGACCCCGATACTTAAGGTCTTCTTCGCCACCACTGCGAGGGCCCCGACGACCGGCCATGGATGCAAAAGGAACGGCAAACGTGTGCCGAAAGACCCCCGAAAAACCCCGCACGGCCCGATGACCGAACGACCGAAAGACCCGAAAAGCCCAACACCAAACTGTGCAAGCGAAAATCTGTGCATGACATGCTCTGCAACTGCCTATCAGGACATGGAATGCAACATCAAAACATGAGTCTGGGAGCCTTAAAATGATGCAAACATGTACAACATCAAGCTCATGCGAATGACACTGCAAAAAACGGCATGCCAAGCACTCATGCATGACCGTGCAATGCACTCCTGAACCCCCCCTCACTCTTGCACAAATCGTGCCAGGTGCACCGTGTAGCTCTCGAAGTCGATGATGTCGAGCGACCAGGAAAACGAACGACGACGAACGACGAAAGACTTCTTTTTACCCGAAAAATAACTTGAACATTCTCATCCTCAAACCAAACGTTGATGCAACCTTATTTCCTATCTTAAACTTCAAAAACAAACCCGCCCGACAAGTATCAAAAAGACAGTGCCCCGACAACAAAATATCTCACTAAATACTAAGTCCCGAACCCGGAAACCATGACCTAACCTATCTCGAAACCTTAAGTTTTAGGGGTCTGTGGGGGGGGGGGCC